TCTAAGAGGAGGAAAATTAAACCCTTAGCTTGCTTAATTTAAGCAAAATCCCAAAATAATGTGTCTGGTAGGTTCTTCATACATCTTCTGTTTCAAGATTTGAAGAAAGGACTCTAATGATTTAATATAAATGAGCAAAATTTTAATAGAACATAATATATCAGACAGTTAAGAGTGGAACTATTTAGGCTGATGGTGAGGTTGGGGCTGTTACTAGGGCCTCAAAGCACTACACTCCTGCAATGCTGTCCTCCGGACTTCCTTGGCACCCCCAGGGCCTCTCAGGACATAGTTTGAAAACATCTTGACAAAGCTTCTCTCTTCTACCAAACTCAACCGAGGCTCCCTGTTCTTTTCAGTTAGGCCCCAAGTGTTGGACTTCCATGTTCATCTCTGCATTGTCTAATGGTAGCAAGAATCTTGCTAAGTTGCTTCAGTTAGCATTCCCTATCTCCCATAGCTGTTTAACTTCAATATATGACTCCTTACCGTCCCCCAGTGATACTGGATAGCCTGCCTGCCTTCAGCAAGAAGCCTCTTAGACTGTTTACCCCTGCCGTTTCTCCTTAGTCATTTTCCTTCCATCAATACCCTCCTTCTACCCATTGTTCCTTGGCTATAAATTCTCACTTGTCCCTGATATCCTGAATTAAGCCCTGTTTTAAATCAAGGTCTCTTTTCCCTATTGTAATAGCTCTGAATAAAATATGTTTCTACTGTTTTAACTGTCTAGTTCTGGTTTTACCTTAACAACCCCAATTAGCTGAACATCCTCATTTGATGGAAGAGTAGACAAATCTAAGAAGTTACATGACTAGAACCTGATGTCTTGATTCCATGTTTTATTTATTTCCTTTTATACCACACCAAGAATGGTGGAAGTCATTGATGATGGTGCAGTGGAAGCAGTGATGGCAGGAGGCAGGAAGACAAGAGAAAGAACACAAAAGGTGGTTATGAGCAACATTTTTTTTTTTTGGGGGGGGAAGCAAAGGGGCATAGTTAACTAAAAGAATTCAGAGGCAGTTTCTTCATATATAAGACAGAGAAGGGACAAGGCCCTCTTCCCTTGGGCTGGGTCATGGGAAATGATGCTCTGTCTGTTTCAGTCCCTTAGAAGATCTCTTGTGTTACAAAGGAGCATACATTACTGAAATTGCTTTGTTACTGAAATGGGCATTTTATAAAATGCTACTTCTTAAATCAATGATAATCTGACCCCAAAGTCTTTCTCTGGGGATTTGCTAATTAATCTGTCGCCTATCTGGAATGATCAAACAAGACAGTAAAGTTGCAGAGATTTTAATATTTTCCTGGGCCTTTCTGCCCATCACATCTCTGCCGTATTTCCCTTTGTTGTTACAAATGCAGAGGAAGTCTTTAAAATTCTTGAAAAACTTCATTCTACAAGGCTATATGTACATCTAAAATGTAAGGCATCCTGTGGGTATTTTAATCTTTGTGAAGCAAATTCAACCATATCAATAGATGATTTCTGAGTATGACCCAAGGTCACAGACTCTCTTTCAAACACCTGCAAGCAGAGGAAACTTAAGTTTCAGGAGGACAATTTGGCCACAAGAACCAGAGGCCATCAACTGTGTCCACAGCCTTTGATCCAGCAACTCTACTTCCAGGAATTCATCCTAGAGAAATATCAAAGGTATGCAGAAAGATTTATGCAAGAAGTTGTTCATTGTACTATTATTTATAATATTGGGAATTAGGAAAAAATTAAATATCTGATAAGGCAACATGACAAAATAGCATGATGCTATTAACGTTATCTGTGGGAGAATATTCAGTGTTGTGGAAGTATTTCTAATTTATTAGGGGGAAAAGGAGGTGGCAAAACACCACACTGTATTATTCCAAGTTTATGTTATAGGTTACAAAATACGGACATTTATAAAAATATGTATAACTTAGATACAGATTGGGACCTCTCTACTTCTCAAGATCTTATAATAAATGGTTTGGCTCCCTCCTCACCAATTCCATGGATTATGAAAGTTTAAAACCTTCCCCGAGATACTTCAATTTCGAAGTGAGAGGGTAAGGGAGAAGACATTTATGTTATCTTGGCTAGACCATGCTGACCCAGATGTGAAACTCAGATCTGCCTTTAATTTATACATACACACGATTGCACACAGACACCCACACACAGAGAGACACACAAAAGCTCAAAGCACATGGGAGGAAAAGAGGGCGGGAAAGGAGGAGTTTATATTTCAGTTTGTAAACTTTAAATTGCACCTTGGTGGGAATGCAAACTGGTCCAGCTACTATGGAAAGCTATGTGGAGGTTTCTCCAAATACTAAAAAGGTCCCAGAGATTTCATTCCTAGGAATCTACTCAAAGGACACAAAAACACTAGTTCGAAAGGAAACCTGCACTCCTATGTTTATTGCAGCACTATTCACAATAGCTAAGATAAGGAAACAACCTAAATGCCCCAAAACAGATGACTGGATCAAAAAGATGTGGTATAGCTACACAATGGAATACTACTGAGCATTCTAAAAAGATAAACTCATGCCATTTGCAGCAACATGGATGTAGCTGGAAGGGATGATGCTGAGTGAAACAAGTCAGGAGGAAAAAGATAAACATGAGATGGTTTCACTTATATTCAGAATATAGAGAACCCAAACTAAGTGTCAGGAAAACAAAACAAAAACAAGGAGACAAAACTTGCAAGCTGACCATAGACCCAAGGTATACAGCAGGGGGAAGAGGAAGGAGAGGGGTCAGAATAGGGAAGGGAAGAGCATCAGGGACTGTGGCAATGAATCACAGGTAGCGTGATGGTAGGATAAATACAGGGACCACACTGGAGGGGAGAAATCAAATACTGTCCAAAGGTTAACAAAGATGTAAGAAAATAGATAAATAAAACATCAAAAAAAGTAAAAGCTGCTTACTTGATGAGAAAAACAAATAAATTGTACCTTGGTCTTTTGTTTACCACATGCTTTTGAATTCTGCCAATGTATTCAGCATATTCAAATTCAGTTTATCCAAATAAATAAATTTTAAATTAAAAAATGTAAAGACCTCACAGTAGTGAGGAGGGATCCAGAAAACACAGCTTTGACATGTAGAAATCCTGGCATGCCATGCCAAAATGCCCCATGTAACAGTACAGGTGGCTGCTGTGGTTATCAATCCCTGAATTGATAATAATTAATACTTTCAACATTTAGACTCATAATGAAAAAAATCCATTTAGCCCAGGTGACAGGACCCTCAGATCCCAATTCCCACATATGCCCCACTGTTAAGAACAGAAAGGACTATTCAATGATGGAAATGGAATTGTGGCCAAACAAGCTGATGAAAGAGATTTTCCACCAACATACTTGCTGTAAAAGAAAAGACTAGCGTTACCTTTCACTACACGTAAGATAGATCTTTATAACACACATGCATTTAAGAAAACAAAATCAGGGAAGATCTGCTAGGGGAAATCCCATTGTCTCCCACATATATTTTAGCATATTCTTATCTAAATTTCAACTCCTCTGTGAAATGGAAAATTGAAGATAGCCCTCCCTTCCCCCCTCCCCCCCACCTGCACACAGCACCACAGCCCATCTGGTCTGCTCTGGCTGCCATCACAAAATATCAAATGCTGGGGTGGGCTTAAACAAACAGAGATTTGTTTTCTCCAGTTTTGGAGGCTGGAAGCCGATGATCAGGGTGGCCGCAGGGTCAGGTTCTTGGTGAGAACCCTCCCCTGGCTTGCAGACAGCAGCCTTCTCTCTGGATCGTCTCATGGTAGCAAGAGAGCCCTGGTCTCTCTTCTCCAGGAAGGTCACTAATCGCATTATCAGGGTCCCTCACTCAGGACCTCATCTACTCCCGAATAGACCCCAACTATGAAATCATCATATCGCAGGTTAGAGCATCAACATACAAACTGGGGTTGGGAAGTTACATTCAGTCATATCACACCCCAACAATTCTTCGTTTGGACGGCCATGATAACAATGTTACATCCACAGTCTGTCATAAGGCCCCCTCATTCAGAGAAGTTGTTCTCATTCTGCCTTTTCTTTCTGACAAAATGCAGCCTCTGGATTGATTTATTAACTCTCTTACTTTGCCCATGAAATTGTTCTTTATATTTCTTTCCTGTCATCCACAGCTGATCAATATGACCAGTGAGACAGAATTCGAAAGAGACACCATCATCTTTAAAATAATTTAGAAATGAATCCATGTAGATCAGCCCATGTGTATTTGCTTGGCTAGGGCACCCCCCTGTGTCTCCGAAGGGAACTATCACTTAAGTTCTCTGAGGAAACAGTCACTTTGAACAATAGTCCATAATAAATTGTGTCTTTACTTACACTGTGTATGTGCGGTGGCTAATGTACCATGTGGAGGATGCAAAGGTGATTAGGACATGAATCTTGCCTCATGACACTCATGGATTAGTAGAGAAGACCAGATAGGTAGAAAGAAATTTGAAAGAAGTGGTAGAAAGTGACAAATACCTTTAACGGCTACAGAGAAAGTGCTGTGGAAGGTCGAAAGAAGACAAAATTAATTCCTACTGGAGGTAGGATTCACGGAAGACGTGGCATTTGACATGGGCCTTGAGGACTGGGTATGATTTAGGGCCAGTCACTTATGGATCAATTTACAGAATGGTAAAATAAAGCCATCAAGGCAGGAAAGTGCAGGGCCAGTGAAAAGACTAGCAAAGAGCCAGTATTACCATAGCGTGGGTATTTGAAGAATAATGTTGTGAATTAAGATCAAAAGAACCTGGACTTCTCAGGGTGATGGAGGAGTTTCTAGAGACAGTTTCTGGCAGAAAAGAGATGCTCATTTATTCCTTTTACTCAACATTCTCCTTAAATATATATCAGTGTGTCCCTCTGTGCCAGGCACAGATATTGGATACACAGTGGGAGAGAAACACACATAGGCCCTGCATAGAGGGTTCCGAGAGAGATAACAAAGAAACATTCATACAAATAAATACCTGATTAAAAATGATGATAAGGAAGGCAAAGAATAAAAGGATTCCTTAATAGACTTCATTGAGATTGGGGGTCAGAGAAGTCCTCTTACAGGAAATGGCATTAGGACTGAGACCTAGAATAAGAATAAAGACACATTTATTAAAATAAATAAAATTAAAAGGACTATATCAAATCATTATACTCTACACCTTAAATTTCAACAGTGTTATGTGTCAAAAACTCTTGTGATATATATAGTAATCGTTCATACAGCATAGACTTTTAGAACTTTTCAGTTCTTATACACAAAATAAACACACACAAAAACAAACATCAAATACCTAGTAACAAATCTAATAAAGGTGAATAAAAACTCCCTACCCATATGGCTATTAACTTTTATTAAGTGAATTTAAAGAAGACACACTTACTATAGAGAGAAATATAGTGTTTGTGGATGATAAAGCTCAATAAAGTTACAATCAAAATTCAGCTGGTTGTGTACATGGGGTGTGAGTGAATGTGCACATCTGAGTGTGCACATATGTGTCTACATGTATCTGTATGTATGTGTGTGTGTAACCTGACAAGATGGGGGGGAGGAACCGATAACCTGAAGGGTACATAGGTGACAGTCAGATAAGGATTTGCGAGATGAACCTTCCATGTTCTTGTAAAGGGTATGAAAGCACAGAAGGACTTTGTTGATCTCAAGAGAGTGGAAATAGGCTGATGTGAGTGGAGGTCAGGAGCAAGAGAGGAAGACAGTAGGAGGAGGCACAGAGGGAAACTGGCACTAGTCCATGCTGGCCTTATAATTCATGGCAATGAATTGTGTGGCTTACTTCCCTGCTAACAACCTGTATAAATCTCTTGGGGTTCCCTATCTCTTTCAGAGTGACAAAGCTAAGGGCTTGCTGCCACCCCACCCCCTGGCCCCATCTCTCCTTCCTGCCACCCTGGATTTCTCCTTAACTCCACAAGCCCCGCTGCCCCAAAGCCTCCGTGCTTGTCCCCTCTGGCCAGCCAGCCCTCTCTGCCTGGTTCCCTCACTGTCTTCTGGTCTCTGCTCCAACATACCTTACCAAAGGTGCCCTGACTCCCCTCTACGCACATGCCTCACATATTTCTGCAGGCTATTTTACCCCATCTGACACACTCTCCACAAATGTGTTCATTTTCTGCCTCCTTGCACTACAATTCAGGTCCTCTGAGAGTGAGGGCTACATTTTCTTCACAGTCGGACTCCTCCCCCAGCCCCATGCCCAGATCAATACCTGGTACATGATATGCTCTATAACCCCTGGAGTTCTATTTTTGAAAATCCATTCAAAGTATTTTCCCCCCATTTTACAGATGAGGAAACTGACTCAGAGGTAACTTGCTAAGGTCATCAAAGTAGTAGTCTACCAAGAACTAGACCCAACTTGTCTCTCCCTCCCAGCAGCCAATTACAAAATTACCTCTCCTCTTCCAGTCAAGCAAGCCTCCAGCCTGCTCCCGTCCCCACCACCATCACCACCTTAACTCTGCTGAGGCTACCGGGAATATTTGGGCACTAGAGCACTCTGCACTGTCAATGTTCCATTTGGTGGAAAGTTACTCTGTTTAATACGAAGAGGTCCACTGCTTCTCCCCTCTTAACCCCCTCTTTTTGTGGCAGGATTATAATTATTGTGAGGGGGTGTGGGAGACAGGAATGAGGGGTTTCCCAACCTGCGGGTAGCTCTCCACTTTTTTTTTTTTTTTTTTCTTCAGAGATTGGCTGGCCCTGTGGTTTCCTATCTCTTCCTCATCAAGTGACCCTGAGCTGAGATGAGATCACTGTTCTGAGCTCACACCTCTGCAGCCTCCGGTGGCTCTTTCTCTTGCATGGGTTAATGGATATATAGCATTCCTCTCTCAAATAATTCCTCAAATGATGCCTTGTCCTCCAGAAGGTCTCTATCAATGCCCATGTCAGGATCCTTAAACTTTGCAAGTTCATTTGAAATGTTATCTACAGGTATGGTGCTATGAAATACATACCTCTACATACTCTCCACAGCCCTTACCTAAGCTACTGAGTTTGGTTTAAGGCCTGAGCTCAAACTCAAGAATTTGCAGTAAGTGGGGATAAAAGGAAGTTGATTTCACCCAGGCCCCCCACTGCTGCTTAGTTTCTAAATTAATTTTCATCCAACTGGAGTCATGAATCCTTGTGAAAAGTTTTAGGTTTGCAAAAGGCATTTGGATAATGAGTGGTGGATTATAAATAAAATATCAAGTAATAAAATCCAGACATTGAAAAGCATCTCTATGCGAAACAATAAAAGTCTGAAACATTTCTGTTTTGTGGGTACTTGGTGCTCATATGGCTTTTTAGGGAGGTAGGGGGACGGATGTGGGGAGGATGAGGTGAAAAACTAAAATTGAAGTATCAGCCAGATGCCAGAGAGATCTCCATCCAAACTAAGCTCCCCTCTCTTTTACATTGTACCTCTGAACCATGTCATTACAGACCTGTCTTACAAGGGCCTGAAATCAATAAAAAGAAAAAGTTCAAAAACCACTCCATAAGAAGCAGAAAATCTGCCCTTCACTCCTCTTTCTCTGCACCCTGAGGAGTTCTAAATCTGCCTTCATTCCTACATCAAGCCTGAGACACCAGGCTCCCTCGAACTGTCTTTTATTCTGCATTATTTCTGTAACATTCTGCCAAGCATCGGTGGGGCTTTAAAGGAAATGTGAAAAGGTAGCAGAGACACATCTGTACGGCAAAGGCATGTGGCAGGGGGAAGGCACACATAAATCAAAGCCTGAGCGAAGCCTGCTAGCAACCTGAAAATCAAATTGTGTCAGGGAGAAGGCCCGTGTGGAAAAATAGATTAGAAGGGCACTGAACAAGAGAGAAGAAAGACAAGCAGCCTACCAAAATTAATGAGAGGCAGAGGAAGCCTGGAGAATGAAAAGATTTGCACTACTTAGGGATGGACCAACATTCCAGCAAGTGACACAGACGCCCGTTTGGAATACGTGATGGCCATCCATTTCCACTTCCCTCTTTGTGTGTTTCACCACCCTCAAACCACGGGTACCAGGTCTGAAAAGAATTTGGGGGTGGGGGCAGGAGGAAGGCAGGCTGAAAGGGATAGGAGAGCAGGTGAGGGCATTTATATGAGCAAAGAAACCTCCACGGCAGCCCCAAGTGTTTTCAATTGGTGATCCACACTTGGTGAGTCATCCTCTGCTCCCCTCAGGGGCTCCTGGAGTCCAGACTCCCTCAGCTGTTGCCAAACTCCTCCCAGAGGAAAGGGACCAGTCTTCTGTCATAGCATCAGACTGGGACATTGAAGATTCTCTGAAGTTGTCAGGACCATCTACTACCTGGAGTCTCATGGCTCCCCTGGGCTTCTACTAAGCAAAGTCTGCCTTCCAACCATTCCCACTGCTCCGGGAGGCTGTGGTCCACCCTTTTCCCCAAACCCCATAATAGTTACCATATTTTGCCTTTTCCCACAAGTCCAAATTGTCCTATCCTTGCCCTCCAACCTGGGGATCTTAACCTGACCTTGTCCTGACTCATTATCTCCCCCCCCCATATCTATTATGCCTATTTGGTGTTCTTTCCGAACTCCAAGCACTGGGCTTTTAAAACACAAAAGTCAAGAATTGCCCCATTTGCTGTGAATACTTCAAATTCCCACTTCCTTTGAGGCAATAAATGAATAATAACCCACTTACCTGGATGGAACAAGGACCAAAGAAGGGAAGAGTGGTTTCAATGTTTCGAAATGTCCTGTACAGGGCCTCCCTGGTGGCACAAGGGGTTGAGATGCAACTCAAGCTGTCCATAGCCACTGCAGCACAAGTTCGATCCCCAGCCAGGGAGCTACCCACATGGTGCAGCAGACCTCTCCTGTCTCTCCCAGCTGCTCCCCTCAGCAGTGTATTTCATCAGTCTGCCTGTTCTGCTCCCCACTCTGTCTCTGGTGAATTCTCTCACCCCGCCCCCGCCACATCTCTGGCCTGTACCACAGTTCTTGTATGCATAAATAAATCTTTTAAAAAAGCCAAAAAAAAAAAAAAAGTCCTGTACATAAGTGGTCTGTCCGATGATGAGGCTGACAACTGAAGAGGCCTCCCTGAAAGGAACCCAGTGTGAGACTGTTTTAGCCACTGTGCAACCTCAACGGCCCTAAGTGAGTCCACTTTATAAACACTGTCATCCTTGCCAAACTGTGTGAAAGGTGTGGGGGGTTCTGGCGTAGTCTCCCCCTAGAGACCAAAAGATCCTTGAGGGCGGGACCAGGGTCCTGAAACTCTCCAGACTAACGAATTTAACCAATACCTGAAGCAGTGAACTAGCAAATGACAATGAGGAGATTCTCCTCAAACTTCAGCAGCCAGATGTGCCCCGGCCTGTGCCAAACTCTTCGGTCCTGAAAAGCACAGACTTCCCCCCAAGGGTGCATGTGAAAAACCCATGAGATGAATGCAGATCCTTACGCGTTCTCCATAAGAGAAGCCACGAAGCGTTCAAAAGGCAGCCGCTGAGCGAGATACACCTCAGGTGCTGACCTGCGACCACCCCTGAGGCCTGGGCAGGTTTCCGGTGGGAGGGCTGAGGCAACAAAGCGACGCCCACAGCTCACACCGCTCAAGGCCCGAAGAGACTCATGTGCCTAATCTGGGCAAACCACTGCGGTGTTCGTGCAAAGAGGCGACCCAGTGTTCGCCTCCCTTCGGCTCTGTGGCCTAGCTGAAGTTCTCACAACTCGAAGTGTCCTTCACACTAAGCCCCGCCCCACAGGCCCTCGGAGGCGGGGCGTGGGGCGGGAGGGTCAGAAGGGGCGGGGGGCCAGGGGCGGGGCGTGAGCGTCAGGGGGCGGAGCTCGGGGCGGGGCGGTGCTCGAGGGAAGGGGCGGAGCAGAAGCGTCAGAGGGGGCGGTGCTCTGGGGGGGCGTGAGCGTCAGTGGGCGGTGCTCGGAGGCGGGGCGGTGCTCGGGGAAGGGAGCTTCAGAAGGGGCGGTGCTCGGGGAAGGGGCGGGGAGGAAGCGTCAGGGGGCGGTGCTCGGGGGCGGGAGAGCCAGAGGGGGAGGTGCTCGGGGAAGGGGCGGAGCGGAAGTGTCAGGGGGCGGTGCTCGGGGGCGGGAGAGCCAGAGGGGCGGTGCTCGGGGAAGGGGCGGGGCGGAAGTGTCAGGGGGCGGTGCTAGGGGGCGGGAGCGTCAGAAGGGGCGGTGCTCGGGGAAGGGGCGGGGCGGAAGTGTCAGGGGGCGGTGCTCGGGGGCGGGAGAGCCAGAGGGGGCGGGGCTCGGGGAAGGGGCGGGGCGGAAGTGTCAGAGGGGGCGGTGCTCAAGGACGGGCGGGGCGCCAGGGGCCCGGGGACGGAAACCTGGGGCGGGCCAGGCGGTGGAGGAGAGTCCTAGCCAGGCCTGGGCCTGCTCCGATCCGGTCTGCCGGTGTCCCGGAGTGGTGGAAGCTCGGCGGCCCGGGTCGCACCAGCGCCCCTCGGAGCTCTCCGAGCCCGCGGCCCTCGGGGTACCGGGCAGCGGCGTCGGATCGCTCCCGAGCGCGTTTGCCAGCATGGCAGCCGTCGCGGGCTTGCGGGCCTTCGGGGCAAAAGGGCCCGGCTGGCTCCGGCGGGGCCCATGGTCCCCGCTCACCGCCGGCGTCTGCAGCCGGGGGCTCGCGGGGGCCGGGCAGCCCGAGCCTGGGTCGCGACCCACCAGCGCGCGGCAGCGGGACGGCATCAGGTCAGCCGCGGGACCCACCGGTGCCCTGGCCCTTCCGTGGGGCTGTTCCCAGGTGGGGTGGACGGCAGGGGCCCGGGAAGAGAAAGGGTCGAGGAGGCCGGGCCACTGTGCCCTGTCACTCTCAAGGAGCCTAAAGGCAGCTGTGTCCCCCACCTGACCCCCATTATATCTGCTTTTGCCAAATCTGCCCCGCAGGGAAGTTCCATGTCGGAGGAATCCGGTCACACACGATGTTTACAGGTGTCCTTTGCCTAACACAGTAGCATTTGAGACAGGACATACACCAAAAGGACTTTAACAGGGACGGCCTGGGATGGGGGGAGCGGGTCCTTTGCACATCCTAAATCCTTAGGGTAATCCACCCTATTATCTTTGGACCTCTGGGGCTGGGTGTGTGCATCTTGACCGTGGCCCCAGGGCTGCTCTGGCCTTTAAGAAAGCCCTTTAATAGAGCATTTGTGTCTTTCTTGAACTTGACCTGGCAGCAAGGCAAGCTTTGGCTTAGCTGAGCTGCTCCTTGGCCCTCACCCAGATGTGCTGGTGTGGGGGTGGATGATTAAAGAGCATGAAGGACTCAGGGTACTGAGCTCTGCCCTTTGGCTCAACTAGCCTAAAATCCTTAAAAACATACCTGTGCCCAAACCAGGAACTTGACAATGAAAGAGTAAAGGTTGAAGGGCTCCTAACCCCATCTTTGCCTCACATTGACATTTGCCTGGCCCAGACCAGGGTGCAAAGGGAGGTCTATATAGAATAGTCAAACTATTTAAAAGGTAACAATGGAATATCTTTTCTTCTACCGTGACAAGAATACCTTCATAAAACCTGAAAGGCCATATTTGAATTTATAATCTTCTGGCTTCTAAGAGTTTCCCCAGAGCTGTGCTCCTGCCTCTGCCTTGCAGCTTTTTCTTCTCTTTCCACACTCTGCTCATCCCTCCCTTGACTCCACCTCTCATTCCTGCTGCTTTGCCAGGAACATGGCTCACAGCTCTGCAGATACCCCATTCCACATGTCCATAGTCTCTATATTCCTGCACTTGTGCTTTTGGCCATCCAGTGGGCCAGGGACACCCACTGCAGAACCAGAGAGTTCCAGGGTCTCTGGTAACAGCAGTGGGATTTTGGCACATGCCATTATCCCAGTGAACTTATTTACTTTGAGGGACACAGCTGGAAAAGGCCAGTACAGGCCTCTCTAAAGTGCAGGAGTCTTTTTCGCCTCTTTTCAAGGCAATTCTGCTTCTACAAGTCTGGTTACATCTGATCAGAAGCCTGACTTCTGACATGGTCTCCAGATGACAAAAGACCTGGCTGAGTTTTACAGAACAGAATAGGAATCAGAAAGGGAGATGATTAGAACAATCTAGCATACATCTAGGAATCCCTTAGTTGAAAGGCAGCCCTCCTCTCCATTGACATTAAAGCAGTGCCATGTTAGGCACTATGTAGGTGAGCTTGAGCAACCCAGTCACTCTTCCTGTGGCCTTTTTCAAGTTTCAGAGATAATACTGTCATATAGTAGGCCAGCTATGAAGTGGATACTGCAGTAAGCACTGCATATTTATTGGCCTTAGTCCTTGTAATTAGCCTGCAGGTAGATAATACTATCCCCTCTTAAGAAAAATAAACGAATTCAGAGAGGTGACGGCCTATTACGGGCCACACAGCCAGCAGGTAGGAATGCCAGGGGTCAGGGAAAGGGCCATCTGCCTCTAAAGTCATTTCCTCTCCACTGTGCCATCTCAGTATATTCACCATTTAGGTGTAAAAGAAATGGCAAAAAAAAACTACATGAGATAAAAATTCACAAGAATTGATGGAATTGCCTGTGAAAAATAGAATTGCTAGTTTTGGCTATTAACTCAGTCAATAGATATTTGCTGAGTGTCTCCTCAGTGTGTAAACATGACAGTCTCTTATCTCCTCAATCTTCTGGTGCTTTACTGTGATGTGATCATCAGACAGCTCATTAGAGCATCTACAGGAACCATTTCTTGCCTCATAAATGGAAAGATTATATTTTTACCACATGTCCTGGTCCTCAGGCTTAGGGAGATTCCCTCCTAAGTGCAGTGGTGTCGAGGAAGCTCTAGGTGCAAGGCATCATGTTTGGAACCAAGATAACCATTGGGAGAATTCATACTGGTGAAATTTTTAGACAGCGTTGTGAAACATATTTGATGGCCAGTTGAATAAGAAAGAAATAACAATCTCGGGAGCCTTTCCATTTCTGGCCTGTACAACCAAGATAAAGGGAAGAGGAGAGGGCAAGTTGGGTCATGGGTGTGTGGGAGCAGACACCCAAGGGACCCCTCAGTGGAGAAGTTCAGGAGACCTTTGGATGAACTTGCAGAGCTGGAGCTCAGAAGAGAGACATGAACTAAAGCAAAGATTGGGAATCGTGAGCATCGAAGTGGAAGCTGGTGCCACGGCCAGGGTGATCGTGCTTGGGAAGGGTTTAAGGAACAGGAAGCGGGCATAGGAGGGAGCTCAGGGGATCACCAGCATTCAAAGATTAGCAGATGGCTAGGGTCCATGGAAGAAGTCAAAAAGGATTGTCCAGAGAACTAAAGAAACAAACAAAAGACCAGGAGAGAAGAAATATTTTTCTAGGAGTGTGATCAAAATAGCCTTTGATTGGATGTGGCCCTGACAATTAAAAGACGCTCCATGCAAACCATTTAGTGGAATGGCAGGATCAGAAGCATGTTTACACCAGGTTCAAAAGTGAGCCCAGTAGTTTAGAGCACTCTGACAACGCTTGTAACACACTGGCCAAAGAATTAATGGGCCACAGACGAACAGACACTGCCACACAACAAGGGTATTGGGGGACTGGCATCTTTTCACACAATGTTGCCTGAGGCCTTAGAATTTAATTTAAGCATATGTCACCAAAGGGATGGCAGTGTTTTAGGTTTGCTACAACAAGCACACTTATTACTCTATTACAAGGTTTATCAGCAGTTCTCTCACCACCCACTCCCAAAATACAGGTTCCCAGTCTATCAGCATGTCAGTGACAAGTCATTTCTGTACTTTTGAGAGAACATGTTTATGAGAAACAAAACAATGAATATCACAGCTACCTGATGATGACAGCAAAATTGAAATGGTATTCCACAGAAAATGGGTATTCTTATTGCACTGAAATAAATTCAGTCATCAAAGTTATTTTCCAGAACACAGTGGCACAGAAGGCTGTTTATGGAGGATCCAAGTTGACACATAGCAGTAGGGCTATCAGATTCAAAAAGAATGAGAAAGACAAAACATGTAGGTGGAGACCAAGGGAAACATATAAAATACATAACAACAATCCAGTGTTTGGCTTTTGTCTCTTCCTTGCAGTAGCAGAAATAAAACTTTTTTTTGTACAGGTAGTACATAACAATACAGCTTATTTTAGTCAATATGTGGGACACCTGAAAACAGCCATTTTTTTGTTAGATGTGTCCAGAGAGTCCTCTTGCTGAACGGTTTTGCCCATTTGTCATATACATCCCACTCTCAGACAGCAAGGATTGTTTTGTAGAATTACAGGATGCCACAGTAAAAAAGATGGGAAATACTATCACATCCGTGCGTTGGTTGCTGAAACTGCACTGCCTCTTCTGTGGGCTAGGTGGCAAGAGATTTGGGGGCATGTTTACATCTTGGCTCCTTTCTTGACCTTATTCTTTTCTGAGGAACTAGAAGAATAGGTTGAAGGGAGCCACAGAGATGCTTATGGCCCCAACACTGACTCTGAAGCCTCACAGCCTCCGGCCTGGACAGCAATGATCTGGGAACTGCTGTGGCTTGCCCTTTCTGTGGAGATGGCAATGTCATTTATGACAGCAAAGCTGGAGAGAAAGGGAAACAAATCAAGGGAAAGAGAAAACCTAGCCACATTTCTGGTACTCACATTGGTTTGGCTTAGCTATTACTCCAGAGAGTTGACAGATCCTCTCAATTGCCCCTGAGCACCCACAGTTCTCTTTTCTGGTGCTTTAAATATAGCTTCCATATTAGAAAGGAATCGCAGGGGCCCTCACTTGTTTTGACTGGTGCCTGACCCAGTAATTATAAAATGTTCTTCGTAGGAACGTCGTCTTGAGCAATCCAAAGAGGAGGAACGCACTGTCACTTGCAATGCTGAAATCTCTCCAAAGTGACATTCTTCACGAAGCCGAAAGCAAAGATCTGAAAGTCATTATTATTTCAGGTATGCAATTCGGTTTTCTTTTCAATGTTCTATATAATGCCCAGAAGAGGTTTCTCAAAATGCTTTGGTTAACTAAGGCATTCCCTCATTAAAGGGAGAATTCTATTCGAAGCTCTTTTACAGGAACATTAATTATGGAAAACTTATGTAATGGGAGCCTTGGTCCTAACACTATTAACTGGAAATTATAGCACAGATTATTGTTCAGTGAAAATATGTGTTTCTTCCTTCTTGATGGATACCAAAAATGGCCACTCTTAACAGTGCTGGGCTTCCCATCAATATAGAAGAATGGATTTCTATGGACCTTCTAAGATGGATGCAATCACTAATCATTTTGCTGGACTGCCTCATTGACTAGGAAAAGGCTGCTAGGACAGTTAATTGGTTTGTCTTTTATTTACCAAGCTTTCAACTAATATCTGCAGTCTTCTTTGATACCAGAAACTATGCTATATTTTGCCTATTTCTTCCCTGCTATGTTCCAGTTTTACTGAATTATATGATGATGATGTGGTATTATAAATAATAGCATTGTCAGCACCTTGAAGCCTCCACAGAAAAACAAAACCAGTGATGTTCTGGAACAGGCTTTCTTTTCAGGGGGCGGAGGGATGGACTAAATATCAATGGACTAAGGACTGAGGACTAAGGATCAGTGCTTTGTGAAGGCCGATGAACAGAATGATACCTGCTTGTCCATGGATGAATATGCATTTCAATTCTTTTTCTCAAAGGGAAAAGAAGTAGAACTAGCAGAGTTGAGCCGCCATGGGGAATGACCCAGAAGCCATGAAGGCTGCTAACTTCTGAATGACACAATTTCCTCACTTGTAAAAGGGAATAATATTGCCTGTCAAAATAACCACAACAAAAGGAAAGATGAGGAAGTGTTATCCGCTTGTCAGTGGAATTACATTTTGTTGTTGAAAATGACAACAATAACAACAAAACCACATCTTCAGATCCCTCCATTTATAATATAAAGGGGCCTCTTCACTCTCTGATGTTCACTATTCTGATCCATAAGATGGCCTTTATCTGTAGACAGAATGACAGGGGCACTGCCAAAGGCACTGTGGATTTCAATAGACCTATTTGATTTAACACGCACAGGCCAGAGCAAGTTCAAAATCAAAGATGTGAGACCAGAGAGACAACTCCAAGAAAAGTATATTCGCCTGTCCCTGAGCCTTCTCCCTTGGAAATTGCATGTTTTCATCAGTTTCTACCATGGGCCTTTTAGAGTACAGAGACCTCACCTGCACTGCCATTATAGAATGTAATCACTGTAATTCTTCAAGCTAACTCGAATTATTCTTATCAAAATCAGGTCATTAACTTGCTCCAAGTGTCGACATGAAACCAATTTTTTGTTAAAGTTGACAAGTTAGTGAACTTACCAGCTCTGGCTGTTTACTTCTTTTTCTCTTCTTTTCCCAACTGGAAACATTTGCAGCTGAGGGGCCTGTATTTTCTTCTGGGCATGACTTAAAGGAGCTGACGGAGGAACAAGGGCCAGATTATCATGCTCAAGTATTTCAGACCTGTGCAGAGGTAAGCCCGGATCACTGTCAGCCTTGCAGGCCTGAAATTTATAAGTATATCAGATATTGAATTTGGCTTCTAGTTTACAGGTAAGGTATTGTCTAAGAGACCCAACCACTGCAGAAGTGCTAAGAACTAGGGTCTCCCCTGGTGGCACAGCGGTTGAGCACTGGACTGCGAAGCTGCCCGCAGCCTTCAATCCCCAGCTACTGGGTGAGGGTCCCACATGGCGCGCAGACCTCTCCTGCCGCACCCGCTGCTCCCCTCAACAGTGTACTTTGGTCCTTCTGCCTGCTCTGCTCCCCGCTCTGGCTCTGGTGAATTCTCTCACCCTCCCGCGCTTCTGACTGTACCCAGTGCTTGTATAAATAAATAAATAAATCTTTTTTAAAAAAAAAAAGTACTGAGAACTAAGGTCACTGGTGAATCCCTCATCAAGGCACCTTTTTGATTTAGATATATAAGAAGTGACTTTAGTTTGCTATTATTTTATTATATTCCAAAGAAAATAAACTATACCCTGATGTTGACAGTTACCATCTCCAGCATTGTGGGGGTATGTCGAGATATATATGTTTTAAGTATAATAAAAGGTGGGAATGTACATCTGGAGAGAGGAAACAGATTACAGAATGTAATCACTGTAATTCTTCAAGCTAACTTGAATTATCCTTATCAGAATTAAGCCATTAACTTTCTCCAAGTGGCCACAGCATCAAACCGAGTCCCATCAACTGTCGATGGGAAAGGAAGAACATTCATAAATGGAATAATAATGATTTAAAAAGGTATTTTCAAACTCTCTTTCAATCATCTTTAAAATTGCCACCTTCAAGTGGAAACATTAATCTCTTTATTCTCACTTTCTGTTTTCTGTTCCTTTAAACATGTAAAGGAGTAAAATTGCTAACAAATGCAGAGGAGAAAGAACAAAAAATTGGGGATGGTGTATGTCTGTATTAAATCAAGCCATGAATAATCAAGATTGAAAACAGAATCCAACTCTAAGTAACACATTATTCATTTGATGAGTATTTATTGGATACCCCATATACATGTAACGGTTGCAAGATACTGAGGGAAAGAGAAGGAAAAAAGAGTTTTCTTCCAAAATGAAACCAGAAATCTAATTGAAAAACAAGACATATAAAACAATTTTGTGACCTGACCCTCAGATTACTTAGCCTAACTTTTTGTCCATTTATTGGCTTATTCACTCATTTATTGGATGACAGCTCAACAAATATTTAGTGAAAACCCATTATGTAGACAGAATAGAGATGAGCAACAAAGTGGGGAATGGGAAAGAATCAGGAAACCTTAATCATCGTGTTTTCCTTACTCTCCCAGAAACCCATCAGGAAAGCAGATGGTAGTTTTCTCATTTCATGGAGGGACAAACACAAAAAGTGATTGACTTGGGGCCTCAGGGAGAGGTGGAAACAAGCCAGAGCTAAGACATAGGTCTTTTGTTTCACATTAATGATGTTTATAACATTCTGCTCTTGTGTTTGCCAAGACTGGGTGTTTTAAAAGTTATTTTTCTACTAGTACCCAGTATGTTTGTCCAAAATAGAAGATTATCAAAGAGAACCAGTAGAGCTTTTCATCCTCCCTAAAGGGCCTGCTTTTATCTCTCTGCCGTGATATCTTCATGAAGTGAGATCTAAGCGGCTTAGCAGAAGACCACCAGGAGCCCAGGCTTCTTCAGAGGACAAAAGCCAGATTTCCTGGAAGCTTCCTACCCATGGATGCCTCCAGCTCACTGAATATGACACAGTGCCTAATAGGACCTGGCCCCGATGTAGTAAAATAGGGGTGGAAGTGTATTGATTTCTGTAAATTTTTTCTAAGAAAATCAATTGTCCTTGATAAATATGAAAACCATGAATGTGGGCAAGATTTCAATTTCCAAGTGTAATCAACAGGCAGATTGGAACATAATGAGCTAGATATTTCATTGTTTGGTTCAGGCATGAGAAAATTTGATTTTAGAAAGGTAGAGATATCTAAATTGATTCAGCATTTAGAAAGTATAGCAAATTCATTACAGACCACAAGGATTGCATGATAATTTTTTACCAAACAGGAGTGGGCGGGTTGACAATGAGAAGGACCATTTGGTTAGGAAGAGCCAGAGTGACCTTTTGTGGGCTCACTGGCGGGCTTCCATGAGGGACCTACCCCTTGACCCTCTTCTTTTTTCCTGCTGAGGTTTGAAAATGGAAGTCCCAGACAGGAAGAGATTTGTGTCTCTCTCCTCATGCCCCACCAGTGAAATGACACTGGGTCCTCTTTTGGAGATAACTTAGAACCCTCAGCCATGCTGTTCAGTAAGGCTAGGGCACAGTTAAATTTATGTCACATTTTGGAATAGGCAGAACCCCAAAGCCGTCCTTAATTCAGGAAGGGAAAATAGGAAGTATAATCAATTCTTGACCATCAAGGCATTGATTATTCTAGCTTGTTTACTGTCTAGGTCTTTGTCTTGTCTGAATTGCTCTCTAACTTTATTTACAGTATTTTTTAAATTACATAAGTAATAGGTACTTATAGAAATTTTTGAAAATTTAGAAAAACAACAGAAAAATAAAGCGCTGATAACAGACCATGATCAAAAGAACAAAGCATTATTTAAAGGTAGACCACCAAGAGGGGGTTGTATTAATAAAGAAGTCACTTTTCCTTTTAACCTTTTGTTTCCTTTTAACCTTTTTCCATGTGAACCTATTTGTTTGAATAACCATACAAAGAAACTGCATTCTATTAAACAATTACATAATAAGATTATAGCATTAAAATGCCTATAACTACCAGGTAATATTTTGGCTACTTTAGACATATTGATTTATTTCATTCTCATGTTCTGCCACAGTGTTATATTATTATACCCACTTTACAGATGTGAAGACTGTGGTGGCAGTACTGCATGGTATTCCGGGCATTAAGCCTCAGCCTAGCACCAGAACACTACCCAAGGCCCAGACTACCATATTGATATTTGTCTTAGAAGTTTTCATTTTAATAAGAATACAACATTCCATTCCACAAATGCATATTGTTTTGTTTACAGTGTCATTTATCTATATTTCTATATCTATATTATTTATAGGTTTTTCTTACTGTTATAAAATAATGATTTAGTGAACATCTTTATCCAAGAGCTTTTTACCCTAAGTTAGATCATTTCTTAGATATAGAATTCCCAGATCAAAGGTGTGAATATTTTTAATGTTGTTGATATAAATGGTACTGTATTACCTAGGTATCTCCCCCACCCCAGGTTGTATGGAATCCTAGCCCTTCACAGATGGCAGGCAGGGGACAGGCTATTCTACATTTCTCACAGTCAACTGACTTTTCATAAGTAACTTCAGTGCATTAGGTAACTGATGACATTCAGACACAAAACAAAATCCTTTCTTTTTTTGCAACAAAACTTTAGAAATTTTTGTCTTCTCGTCTCATCGTGACTTCTCATCTCTGCTATTGCAGTTCACTTAGAATGTGCTCTCTTTCTAATGACTATTGTCACCCTGCCAGCAGCACATGAACCCTGTTTGTACTCTTTGGGGTTCAGATACATGCACGTGCATTCTTCTGGGGAGAGGGTAAGAAGCATTTATCAGGTTCTCCAAAGAAACCCCCTTCTCAAAAGAAGGTCAAGAACCACTATTATAGAGTCTGGTATTATGTCCATAAATGTATTGTTGGTTATTATATAACAAAACTGATAAATATCAAGTGTTCATGGATACAGAAGGTTAGTTCCTTGAGCAAAATCCCTAAGTCAAGGAGGTCGTTTTTTCTTTGATTTGCTACCCTGGGAAGCAAGCCCAGATGTAGATCCTTCCCACTTCCCTCACTCCCTGCTTTGGTTCAAAGAGCAACCATTTAGAAATTGGTTACCATAGCAACACAATCTGCTTAGAGTGTCATGAAAAAAATGCAGAAATAAACCAAGTATTGTGTGAACTGCCAAAATAAGTTAAAGTTCTAGAGGTGGGTGACATGAGCAAGTTTTTGGCTCTCCTCCCCTCTCTGTGCCAACGACAAAATTTAGGAATTTTGCCTGTTTTGATGACAGCAGGGTGTTCCACACCATTTTAATAGAATTGAGAGAATGTTCATGGTGGTAATTTGAGAAGTAATTACTAAGGAAATTGCATTCCAGTCCTTTCTCCACCTTAATTTTTTAAGGAAGTGCCAAATACCAGTTTTAGACTTTTAACATCAGAACTTTCAACATCAGGGCCAGTTGCTCCCCAGAGAACACCATGAGCCCTATTCTTGGTGGGTTGCCAGGGAAGCAGACAGAGTCTTGGGCCTTGGAGTAATACAGATGCTGGCTCAGACCCACAACTAGGGGGTGCCAGGTGGCTTCTGAGCCTTCCAGTCTTGCTTATAAACAGGGCCCTTTCCTCCTGAGAGGGAGACGAGAGGCCACAGACTGTACAAAGTAGACATTTCTCGCAAGTTAGTCTTTGGCTCTTTTTCCTTAGCATCAGACACATGTGAGTGGTGCTCTGAAACAAGGTCACATAAGAGGTTTGCACATTGCTCCCACTCTTGACTGAGGGAAGGGTGTGTTTGCATCTTCAGGTCATGATGCAGATCCAGAGGCACCCTGTCCCAGTGATCGCCATGGTGAACGGCCTGGCCACTGCTGCCGGGTGTCAGCTGGTCGCCAGCTGTGACATCGCCGTGGCGAGCGACAAGTCCTCTTTTGCCACTCCAGGTGTCAACATTGGGCTCTTCTGCTCCACTCCTGGCGTTGCCCTGGGGAGAGCAGTGCCCAGAAAGGTAAGCAACTCTCACCTCCCTTGCTTGTGATCCTTCTGTGCACAGGAGGGTTCGTTCCAGAATCTGCTTGTTAAAAGCACCGTTGTATCAGGCCATTCTGACTAAAGCACAGCTGGCTGGATGTGCCCTGCTGTTCCCTCTAATGTCCCGTGTCGGGGAGGGAAGAGCCAGCTGCCTGCTCCCCTGAAGCTCTCCCAGCCACCTTCAATTTGCAAATCACAACATTTCACTCTTGCCTGGCCCTCAATGGCTAGTTAGGTTTTTGGATTTTTTGTTGTTGTTCTTGTTCTCATAAGGGCACACATTTTTGTGATCTTATCTGAAATACAACTGAGACTCAGTTTTGCTGCCCTGAATGGTTGCCCATGAGGTAGAACGACACTGTGACTTATGCCAGTATCAAGAGACAAGTTCACCAGGGTCATAGACCTACTCTTTGTCCACAGTTCATCTTGCTCCAGAAAGGACTGAGAGCAGATGATATACTGAAGGTGTCAGTTTTGCAATGGTTGCATTTCAGGATCATGTCTGAATATCCCATGCACGGTATGCTGAATCTGCCCAGGAAGGAACCCTATCAGAAAAGTCGTTTTGTTGATACTAACACAGTGAAGTCCATTTTCTTCCCGAAGCTTTCTTCCTTCCCATAATAGCATAAAATAACATTTACTAAACATCTCTTAAGTATAAACCATTGGTTCTTTGTTCTAGAAAAAACAGGTCTTTGTTATCAATTGGAAATCTGTTTTGAAAAGGGACAAGGGGGAAAGTCACGTCCCATGGCAGGTCGGAAACCCAAACTGCTTGCTAGACTATACCAACCATCTGAACATCAACTATGAAAATTAGCATAGGAGAAATCCTATGCCTGTGGCACAAAAGGAGTGAGACCCAAGGGAAATCAAGCCACAGAACCCAGAAGTTTAGGGAAGTACTTCCTTCTTTCACAGTGTCTTCTCACTAATTTTTACAGAAATGTGAGTGAGGAGATTCCCATAAGTATGCACGCTAGTGAAAACTGCAGAAAATGGGTCCCACTGCCAAAAGGAGGCCTGTCAAAGCACAACTGCTAGAATGTCATCAGACTAGGGGGTGTTCTGATCCTGTCAGGATATGCATTTACTTTAAATGTATACATATTAATTCAGCAAATACTTCTTAAGTCCCTACTTTGTGCTAGTACATTTAATTAAAAAGCATTACAGATATATTGTTGAAGCTTGTTAATAAACTATAACTGGACAAATCAAATCATGAGGCATTTTGCATAGTAAAAGGATGTTGTACTGGTTAGCCTGCCTGCAGCTGTTCGTCTTCTTCAACACCTGACATTCTAGAAGTTTCCACAGTATTGTCAGAATAAGCATTGTTCTTTCTTTTTTAAAAAAAAAGATTTATTTATTTATTTATACAAGCACTGGGTACAGTCAGAAGCACGGAAGGGTGAGAGAATTCACCAGAACCAGAGCGGGGAGCAGAATAGGCAGAGTGACAAAATACACTGCTGAGGGGAGCAGCGGGTGTCAGGAGAGGTCTGCGTGCCATGTGGGACCCTCACCTGGTGGCCAGGGATCGAACCGCCGCTGCAGAGGCTGCGGGCAGCTTCGCAACCCAGCGTTCAGCTGCTGTGCCATCGGGGTGGTAACGCACTGTTCTTTCTTAAAACAAACTTTTAAAATCAAAGCTTAAAATTGAATCTTAGAAACTTATACATTGTATTTGTCAAATTTTAAATTAGTTTTTGAGAAGAAAAGGAATCCTGACATAATCAGACCCTAAGGTCTGAGGAAGCCCAATTCTCAAAACTACTTGTATTACTGTCCAGTGTGACAGATCAAGGGACTGACTATTGAGACCCAAAGTAGCTGTCAGTTTTGGCAAGGGCCAGGCCTGCTCAGAGGATGGGGCAGAGTCTCTGATTTATCCACTGGGATCTGTGATCTATGTTCCTCCAGTTCTCATCCCCAGGAGGCCTCAGTGGAGTCTGAAAGTGGCTCAGAGTTCTGTCTGTAGATGTCTCAGCACGCTGGCTCACTAATGCTGGGCTAGTGGAAGCATGCACCAGGCGCAACACCAGTGAGCAGAAACTACAGCACTGATGAAGGGAACCCAGAGGAGAAAAAGTCTGTCAGAACTCAGAGCTGTTTTCTAGGTTCACTTCTTACCTGTGTGGCCCCCTTTAAGAAGGAAAATAGGAAGTCCATGAAAATCTAAACCTGCCTGAAAACACTCACCTGTCATCATTGCTTGATTGCATCCATGCGAACAGGGCCAGACAGGAGCCCACTAACCATGTGTGTGTGGTAGGTATGTGCCCACTTACACACTCAGAGAAGCAAGCCTGTGCTTTTGCAAACTGACCTGGACAGGAAGCTGGGCCTGTATACGTGTGTAGGTCACCAGTGCCCTCTGCTGGTCACTGTGAGACTGTGCCACTGCATAGGAGTCAGGGCTGTTTTGCCCACTGGGAGCAGAAACTGTGGAGTGGAGCCTCTGTGTTCAAGCCAGATTGAGCCTGGGCATGGATAATTTTCCACATTTGTGAAGTGTTTCTCCCCTCTGGTGTGATTTAAATAATGCATCTTCATTGTACCACATCAACAACCTGCCTGGTGCAGCTGCTCCCTTCCCCATGCAGAGCTGGCCTTGTTTGGAATGCAGAGCCAGCGCCTCAAGCACTTAGTATCACAGGAGAGCATGTGAAAGATTAGTACCCCCTCTTCCCAGCCCAGTCATTGCACACAGTAGGAACACTTGCTTCCACCTATTTACCCAGGGTAACTCTGTTTATCTGTAGAACCTTATTTCCGTAGTCTAATTAGAACAGGAGAAAACTTCCAACCTGGAAAGCCTTACCACGCAGCCTGGTGTGCAGATCACCAGGGAGTCTGGGAAAAGACAGACCAGCTGCATCAAAATCTGCACTTTAATAGTGATTTGTGTCACCATCAAAGTTGAGAATGAACTGAGAATGAACCCTTGGCACCTTAGGGAACGTGTTGCCCACACCCAACGTACAGGAAGGCCAGGGAGCATTTCAGTGACTTGCCTAGTGTCTCCCAGTCAATTCAATTAGTCCAAGGTCCCTGTCAGCTTCTTTCCCCTTCAAATCCTATGCTTACACCTCACCTGCCAGCTGTCATCATAGGTGAGGGGATTAAGAAGGGTGGTCTGGGCCTCCCTGGTGGTGCAGGCAGTTGAGCACAGCGCTGTGAAGCTTTCCGCAGCCTCTGAAGTGCAGGTTCGATCCCCGCCGGCCTGAGCAGACCTCTCCTGTCTCGCCTGCTAATCCCCTCAGCAGTGTATTTCGTCAGTCTGCCTATTCTGTTCCCCATTCTGTCACTAGTGAATCCTCTCACCCTCCTGCACATCTGGCCTGTGCCCCAGCTCTTGTATAAATTTAAAAAAAAAAATCTTAAAAAAAAAAAGAAGGGTGGTCTGCTTTAAGTCATCACCCCCTTTTGGGGGGCTGTCATACCTAAAAACTAACATTCAAGGTTCACACAAATTTACAGTTGGAATAGGAGAGCTAACAATTGTCACTGCAAGTTTCCAACACTGGAAAGGACCTACTTTCCACATGTTTTTTCTAATCTTCTTCAAACTGCAGGATGATGGAGCTCTCATTCCCAGAGGGGATAGATAAATCATTTCCTTAATGTCTTGTGACTAGTATGTGGATGTCTAGGATTGGTACCTGTCTTCCTTCTTCCAAGTCCTACTGCCTTGCAGTTAGGCCGTAACCTCAGATCCTTTTGGTTTTTTTAACGCAGATACTCTGGGAAGTGGGATACTATGTCATCAACTTCTTAGGGGACCAAAGAAGTGCCACCTTAAAAGGCTATGAGAGTTGATTAGGGAATGATTAGAATGTATCTTTTTCTCTATAATCTGAAGTTTCAGGGGCATACGACACAGAAACTTAAGTAATAGATTGTGCTGATTCACTATAATATAAACCGCCTTCTTTTTTCCCCCTAGAGAATGCCACTCTACTTGTCTGGGCAACATCCCTATAAATCAGTCTGGTGCTAAATAGTATTACTCCATTTGGCAGATAAGGAAACTGAGGTACAGAAAGGGGGATAATTAGGCAGGGATGACAGGAAGATGAAGGTAGGTCCAGAGCTCAGTCTAGACCACTGGTCTTGCTTCCACCCCAGTCAGGGCTTCTTTCTTGAGTTGTGTTAATCCCATTAATACTTTCTTGGTCTTTCCCTGAAGGGAGAGGGACCCAGAGAGCAGAAGCACAGCAGAAGCCACACCTAGTCCAATCCAGGCTGGCCCGCCCAGCTCTTAGATTCATCCAGTCCCAGGCTTCTGCCTCAGTTACCAGGGCTGCCACTCAGACGCTGCCAGCAGATCTCAGCAAGAACTCAGTCAGCCCCTCTCTGTTGTCCTGGCTACTTCACCTTTTCTCTTGACGTCTGTTCCTAAAGGCTGACATTCCCCAGACAAATTCTGGGAAGCCATTGTCTGTGGGTGGTGTCTGGGTTTGAGAAGAGACAGAAAAGCAGAACTCATGTGCCTGACTCCAAAGCTTGGAGCAAGCAGAGGCCCCCAGAATCGGGTTCTGAACCTAAAAGGACTTGCCACAATGCAGAGCCCATGCCTTCCTGGTTCCTCATCTCCCTTTACAGGTCCTGGAAAGAGGACAGGGACTGGACAAACATAAAGCCCTTCCCCTAACTTGGCAGAGGTGAAAATGGGACCCAAATCACCTTGTTCAGTATGGATTCCATCTGCACCCAGGATGGCAAAGGAGTCCTCAGGTCTACCCTCCTGGCCTCTTCTCTCCCAAAGCTTAATACTGAGGTGATACGACCTAGCCTTATGACTTAAAAAACCATCTAAATCAGTGGTTCTGAACCAGAGCACTACTGGCCTCAGGGGACTTTGGCAATGCTCAGAGTCATTTTTGACTGCCATGACTGTTGGCAGCTACTGGATAGAGTTCAGGGATACAGCAAATTTTCAAAATGCACGAGACAATTCTACACAACATAAAACTATCTAGTCCAAAATATGCAATAGTATCGAGATTGAGGAACCATCATCTAAATGCTAATGATCGCACATTTATATCTCAGGCTAGTCTGGGTGTCCATGACAACCTAATAAACCACCCACAACTTAGTGGCTCCAAACTACAATAGTAGCTTGTTTAGCTCATGAGTCTGCAACCTGGCCAGGGCTTAGAGAGGAAAGCTCATCTGTGTTCTGCCAGGTCTGTGGCCCCAGCTGGGAAGAGTTGAAGATGGGGGGTGACAACTGGGTCACTCCACTGGAGTCTTAGAACAGGTCCCCTGTGGGTGAGGGGGGTAAAAGAAGAAATTGCTGTATAGCAAGGCATTATTCTGGTGGTGGAAGCACAGAAATAAACAGAACCATGAAAAAATATCGCTGTGCCAGTGAAATTTACAAGTAAGCCAAGGAGACCAGAATAGTCAAAAAAACAAAGGTGTAAATATATAGAATGTTCGATGGTGAAAGTGCAGGCTAAAAATACAGCCAGAAAGGGGGTAGTACAGGGGGTTGGTTGATTTGTGCTTGTCCTAGGGCGGTCACAGTAAAGACCTGAAAGAGAAGAGGCCACAGCCATGAGGACAGTTGGAGACAGAGCACTGAGGGTTGAGGGAACAGTACGTGCAAGGACTGCGCCTGTTGGGGAGCAGCACAGATGCCAGCTGGATGGCAGGAGGGGAAGGCACCTCCCTGCCTGCTGTTCCACATGCATCTGGAAATCCCTCTTGTAAATTTGAGTTTTGAGAAGTGACTTTGTAGAATGAAAGCACTGCGTGTAACAGATTTAATGGGGGGAAGGAACCGGAGAGTAATAGGATGCCAGGCCCCTCCTTTTGCCAGACCTTGTGAATCTGGGGGAGAGGCTGCTAGAGGAAAGGGAGGATCTCCTGTTTGTCATGTTTTGCCTATTCATAAAATCATGGTAGGCTCCCTCATCTGGTCCCTTTAATCCCCTTCCTTCTCTGGGACACGGGAAGCTGCTCTTTCCAATTTCACTGGTGTCAACATCTCTGCTCATTCTCCTCCCTCTGGAAAGTGGCCACTGTGTTGGTATGTGGGAGATGATGGCTTCAGCCCATCAGATGTGGCCGCTGTCCTGGGCTGCTGTCCCTTGACAGAGGCAGATGGAATCTCTTAGCAAGGGATCAGAGGTCAGGTCTGTGGAAGGAACAAGACATTCCCCACCTGGCACTGGTATTCTCCTTGCTCTGGAAAGACCTGACCTGTCCCAGCAGGAGTCTGGGTACTGAAGACATTAGGGATGATGAATGACATGTTATTTGAGGAATAGCTAACTGGGCTGAAGTTGTAAGGATGTTGGACACTGTCTCAGCAGAGTGAAATAAACAGGGTGGGCTGCGGGTGGCAGTGGGTCACACAGAGAGCCTCCACAATTACATGTTTCCTCCCTTAGGTCGCCCTAGAGATGCTTTTCACTGGGGAGCCCATTTCTGCCCAGGAGGCCTTGCGTCATGGGCTGCTCAGCAAAGTCGTGCCGGAAGAGCGGCTAGAGGAAGAAACCATGAGAATAGCGAAAAAGATTGCCTCCTTGAGCCGCCCTGTGGTGTCTTTAGGCAAGGCCGCCTTCTACAAGCAGCTGCCCCAGGACCTCAGAACGGCGTACTGCCTCACTGCTCAGGCCATGGTGGACAACGTGGCCCTGCAGGACGGGCAGGAGGGAATCAAGGCCTTCATCCAGAAGAGAAAACCCAACTGGTCACACTGAGCAGAATTTGTGGGAGAAATAGAGGCATGAGTCCGTGGGCAGTGCCCAGGAAGCAGCACTTCCTACTCCTCCCCTCTGACTCCACATACCACAGCTGCCTTGTAATGTAAAAGGAGACAGCCTGCCTTGACAATAACACTATAATGGTTTCACTGACGTGGTCTGTATTAAAAGCCCTGATTTTGAGGGAAGGATGAAGTGGAGAGTCCAAGGAAGTGCTCATTTAGGTGGCCCTTAGCGAGCTTTGTGCTGAGCAGCTGTTTGAGAAGGCTGGGGTCTGCTAGCCCCCTCCCTAGGCCTGCGGGCGAGGGTCTCCCTCACACAGGCCAAGGTGGTAACACACCAGGAATAAAAGAGACTGCAGCCTGAGAAATGTCTCCGCAAGTGGAAGCGGTTCTGGTTGCCCAAGAGAGATGACACATTTCAGATCCCCCAAGATAGTCCCAACTGAAAATCCTGAGAAATAATCATGCCCACGGCTTTGGAATAATCTTACGTGATTTCAAAAGATTAAATATTTAGAGACAGTGAGGCTGTAAGCTGTCTGAGAAAAGAAAAAAATATCCCCAAACTCCTTCTTCTTCACATTCCAACCTGATAGGTGTGGAGCAGCTGCTGGTGTTTCCATGGTGCATATCCTGGCTGCCCAAGGAGCCTTGACACCTCGACCTTGAATAAAGCTCAGCATGAAAACTTGGGGTAAAGGAGGTGGGGGGTGAAGAACACATGTTCTAACAAGAACCACCTACTCTGGACTCACTTCCTAGCTCACTCCACTTCTATAAAGAATCCAAACTAGCATCAGGTACTCCAGGCACTGAGGAAGCATTTGGACTAGGACCTAAACATCATTTTCTGGCTTCTGGTCCAATGTGGCCCAACAAATGCTAGAAACTTCTTGTCCTCAAGTCTTCTCACACATTTGGCAAATGAAAATCAATAGTTTATCTTGCACTTTCTGTCTGAGTGTGTACTAGACTCTCAAATCATGAAATCCTTGCATCTCTAGGCTGGCTTCCCAGCCTGTGAACTAATATGCACTCAGGGACTAGCTTCAGCAGGAAATAATCCAAAAGGAAATCTGCCGTCTACCCTCCAAGGTCATTTAATTCCTCCCCGAGGCCAATATAAATTTTTTAGCTCTGCTTCTGTCCATTGGGATACTGGATGATGTTTTCTGAGAGCCCCAAGTGATGATTGCTTTTGGAAAGCCTATTTGCCTCTCCTTAACTTCCATTTGCTTCTGGGGAGTTTCACTGAGCTCAGCCCAGCAGACCGCACACCTGCAATTCAGGGGCTGGAAAGGAAGTGAGCCCATGTTCACCACTGCCCCCTGGGAGAACACACCTTCCCAATGCATGCTCCCCACGGAGAGCATGAATGGGTTGAGTGAATGTCAGACACCAGCTTCCTGTAGCTTTTTATACCAGTGATAAGGTGGGGAGTAGTATATGATACCAGGCAGCCCCGAAATATATGTGAAGCTCAAGAGGTTAAGGCACGTGTCGCTGGCAACAGTGCATGGGCTGAGATCTGTAGGATTCTGAATTGTGCTCCTGATTAACACACTGTATTCCTCCCAACACAAGTAGGAGACAACCGTTCCAGCCTGCAGACAGACTTCTCATGCACTCAAAGGAAAAAGGCAAAGCAAAGGCCACTGAGTTTTGCTTAGTAAAGATTTAGGGAAAAGCATGGATTTGAACACACTGAGCTCTCCCAGGGTTACATGAACTAGCAGTGTGGACTGCATCTCAACTTTTCCTTCTGTAAAAAACAACAGCGCGGAATCTCCTGTCTGTTCTGACATTCTAAATTCTGCAACACTGGGATTTGGAAACTTGAAATATGTAGCTTTCACTCAAAAGGAGATGGGCATCTTACCTGACGAAGAGGTCAAATTTGAAAACACCTGATTGTGTTTGAAGGAGAAAGATTGTCAGAACTTTGGGGTCACACCTGAACCTTCTGACTTTAGCTGGGAAGACCCTACAGGGAGCTGATCACTATGGAATTTGGCAATTACCTTGGTCTTGTCTGGTGTTTTAGTCACTATCCCCTCCCCCTTAAGTGACAGATATCCATCCAGCAATGTTTGTATTTAAAAGGTGAAATAGTGTGAATTTTATGACAAATTGTGGGCAGTTTGATTCAACTGGCTTGAAGAGGAATGTGAGGGGACTAGAGTGCTTCAGGAACCCCTCAAATTTTCCCATGCAGGTTTCAGGGCCTTTATTGGCCCTCAGGGCTGCCGCCTTTTGAAGGCCCAGCTGCTATCACAGTGGAACACACCCGTGTTCCACACTTAACAGCGCTCGTCTATTTAGGGGAAGGAGTTCAATAATTTCCTTTAAACTTTGTTTTAAAAATATACCTGCTTAATGATGGTTATTTCTTAACAATCATCAAGTGGGTGAGAGTCTGATTCAACATTAATGAAGTTGACATGTTATATTCAATAAAATAATTGTATTTCAGCTTTTCAAGAGGTTTGTTGTTTGTTTCTTTGTTTTCATGTCTATAACTCAAAATTTATCTTGGTCAGTTGATGAACGGGGCTTGTTTTCATGGTGTGGCTATTAGGAATATGCTGCTATGCACATTTACATGCAGGTTTTGTGTGACTCCATATACACATGTGGTTTAATGGCACTTAGGTCAATGGCCCCTCATATACAATGGAGGCCCCAATAAGCTAAGCAATTAACGTCGCTGTATAGCACACACAGAACACCAGAGGTAATCAGTAGGATGGGAACCAAGGAGAAAAATAATTTTGATTCATTAGTGAGCAAATGGAATCCTAGATAAGACATTTGGCTTTTTAAGCCAGAAAGGAGCTTAGCTCTCAGTTAACTTACAAACCATGACATGACTCAGACAGGCCTACATGATGAAAAAGGTGTAGACTTAGCAAGTATTGGTACCAAGAACAGTATCCTCTGGCCAATTTGGCATGGCCTTCTTGTTGACACCCCTCAGAAATCTCGGGGGAAGCCACCCCATAGATTCTTCATGCTTTCTGGAAGTTTATTTAGCAGTGTTCAGGGAAAAGGAAGAGTGTGTTGTCCCCAAACTCCCCTCTTGAGGCCCCTTGAGAAGGAATTTATGAGCTGCTGCAGCTCCAGTCCCTTCCTTGACATTTATTGGCTTTTTGATGAATGTTAGAGCAATTTTTCTGTCAACAGTTTCTCATTAGGGGCCTGGTGATGCTCTTTCTGACCATTATTTTACTCAATATCATGCCTGGTCACTGTGAGGAGAAGAGATTTCACTTAGCAAGCATCTATCTTTGCAGTAGCAAAGAGTGTGGATAATCCCACTTAAAATACCCCTGCTGGACTGACAGTGCCCCGGGCACAGGGAAAGTTAGACAAATGGCTAGACTTTAATGAATGGCTTGTCTCCTGGCATCGTGCCTCTCCATTTCTTTAAAGACATTTCAGGTTTGATTCTGTTTCTCTCTAAAATAAATTATGGAGAACTTACTGGTGAAATAATCACTAGAATTTCCTTCTTGAGATGACAGATTCTCACAATGAATGACAAGTCTGTCTTGGAAAAGTCTGGAACTAGCAGGTGTCCAGTTTCTTTAATAGACTGTTTGTTTCACCCCTGAAGTGCACTCACTTTAAACAATTATAGTACAGGTAAGTCCCTGCCAACCATTAGCATCAATGTCAATCTTCACTCCTCCTGCAACTTTCTGACCACCAGATACAACTCTAACCTAGAATGGCACACATGTTAAAGGTTTTTCCATTATAGGGAAAGTATGATAAACTTCCATGCACAGTGAGTCCTCATTTAATGTTGTTGATCAATTCTTGGAAACTGTGACTTTAAGCCAAAGGAAGTATGAGGAAGGCAAGTTCTCAAATAATGTCATGGATAAGGATTGCTTGCTTTTTTCTTATCAACAATATAACTAAGTTGAATGAAATGGTGTTATTTGAGAAGCTGTTCTACTCATTACCAAGTTTTAGCAATTATCAATGGATAACTGATTATTATGGGCAATCATGTATCTCTAATCTGCCCCATCCCCATCCCTCCCACTGCCCAGACTAGTTCAAAGTGAATCCCAGAGTCACCTAACTAGAACAATGACACTCCTATCACCCAGGAAATTCCAAAGGACTCAGGAATCTGAGTCAGGAACTGAGGCCAAAGACTATTAGAACAAAAGATGCTTCTTGTGCTCTTATCACTTAGGAATTAAGAATATGCTGACCTCAAACAGAAGCAACCAGTCCTCCCCAAATCCAAAGCCAAACACCTCTACAAGACTGTCCCTTCAATTCTACAAGAAAGGAGATGCAAAGCATGTTGGATCCTGGAGTTTGTTAATTTGCTCATGCATGGGCATTGTCTTTCCAGCTTCCTGACCTCGTTTATATAGGATTCTAAATATTAACCTTCACAGGTCTAAGGAGCCAGGAACTATAGGCAGACTGCAACAAACGTATTTTCTCTGATCGCACAACACACCCTTGCTGCTTTTCCTTCTCAATTTTATCCTCTGACTTTCTGGCATCACTTTCCAAAATAAGCTGCCTACATGCCAACCTGGGCTCAGCCTCTGCTTTCTAGGGGAACCAAAGATCAGATATCAAACAAGAAAGAGTCAAACGGATCCAAGAAAGAGAGCAAAGGGAAGTCCCAAAGGATCAACAGGACAGCTTTTGCCTTCCTTACAGAAGGAGCAGGGAAGCCTCAGAGGTAGTGCCTCAGATACAACTCTGTGAAGGGGAAGCACCATTTTCCCCACTAACATGCAGTCACCTTGGGTCACAAGTCCCAGTACACCATGAACTGGACTTCCTGACAGGGGAGCTACTGGGAACTAGGGGCAGAGCTGAGCACTCAGGTGGACCTATGTAACAGGGAAGGCTGGTGGGCATTCTCTCTTTTCTGGTTTCAACTTACACCCAGGGGCTTGGAGGAAACGTAGAGGAGAGACATCTAGAGACAGTTGGAAGAGACACGTGGGGAAGAAGCACATGGGGAGGTTTCTCTTGGTCCATGGCAGAGATGATGGCAGCCATTATTTTGAATTCATGGTGGCTTATGTAGTACATTTTGAATTTTGAGTATCTTCTGTCCCAGATGTCTGGGTCCTCCCTAATCCCTTTCGTGTGGTTCCCTGCCAGAAGGTGCCCTAGACTTGTGGCAAGCTTTTGGGCCTCAGCAACCCTACTTAGGGCCAAACCTGTTTGAATGGGCATTTGTCCATGAAGGAATGGGTGAATTTCAGAGTTTTACTAGAGATATCCTTTCTTCTCTCTCTCTCTCTCTTCACACCAATTCTATTAAAAATCTTTTACACCAAGACTGCTTCCTTTGCCTTTGTGCATGTGGGTGGCTGAATCTCTTTCAGAGGATATACCCCGTAACAGTGTGGGGTCTTTCGGTATGATACCCCTCGATCCTGCTAACAATAAGTCAAAACTCAGATTTACCTGATGTAAAGCTGCCCCAATGAAGGCTACAAGGGAACTGGATCTGGAGCAGTGCAGACCTACTTAGGTTGAATCAAAGGTCATCACTGATAAGAGGGCAGTGGGAGGGGGCAGGCACAACTTAGGGGAGAGAGATTTGGCAACATAGATCCACACCCTTAAAATATGGCCATATCCTGTTCTTTCAGGAAGTAATGTGAAATTGAGGGAAAATGTTATTTCAAAAAACTGTGTCTCAAAAAACATTTTTATTTCCTGGAAGAAAAAGTGCAAATAGACTGCACATAATTTTTCTTCTTCCTCTTATTTTTCTATATTTTCCAAATTTTCTGTAAATTGTAAATAATTAAAAGAGCCTCCTAGAATTTGCTTCTGTTGTTTCTAACTCTAAGCTTTGATACTATTTAATGGCTTAATTTTGTGTTTATAGAGAAGGGTGAGGAATATTCAGTCACCATCAAATAATGTCTAAAATTTTAGAATACCTAAGAAAGAAATAACCCTACAAACCAATATGCTACCACCCTTAGAGGCAACCACATGGTGAAAGAAAAAGTCAGTGTCCCCAGGAACTTTTTCAATTATTAGCACAGGGTCAAAAACTGCCTCTTGTGCTTAACACACAGAACAGTAGTTATAAATTTCTCCAGGAGAGGGCATGGTCGCTCATCTCTAATAAAAATCTGGCTGTGTCACTTGGGGGCAGGTTAGACAGGAAAATCGCATTGCTTTTGGACTCTGAGAATAAAACTCACTTATTTAGCAGCATGTAGTAATAATAGCAAATAAAGGTAGTTGTAAATCAGCTCATTTGAGGCAGTGTAAAGGCAGAAACTCATAAATACAGTTGTTTGCTTTTTATTTGTTTTTTTAAAAAATCAAGCCAGCGTCCTCATAATGTGCCATAAAGATTGTTCCCTGATTTCTCATTCCCAGGGTCATTAGAGGAAAGGCTCGATATGTCAGGGTTTCTCAAGAAGGGAAGTCTCTTGCTGTTATTTCCCTCTAGCCTTTCTGCTCTAAACACTCACTCCCAAAAATCCTTTACCAGGCCCCAGGGGCAAGGCAAGAGAACACACTCATGGGCCTCAGGTCCAGATGGCCTGGCACCCTGACAGGGTAACCTGTTATCCTCCAGGACTGAAACCTGTCCAGAGAGACTTGTCAAAGCATTCCCTCAAACAAGTTCCTGCTAACAAGAAAGATTTGTCTTCACATGTTACCCCTTAATCTCATTTTTACAATCAAGAATCCTAAGTGATTGGCCTCAAATCACAGTTAATTAGTGATGGGAATCGTACCCAGAGATGAAAAATGGACTTCTATCAGGACACAGAGCTCCACCAAGGGCCCATGATACTTCTACAGGCACACACACACACACACACACACACAGGTCTTCATGTTCATTTCCTTGACAACCAGAAGAATGCCACAGTAAAATATAATTTACAGTATTTTAGGGGGAAAGGCCTCATCAAGATAAATGTCTTAGGGCCTCCTCAAAATCATTCTGTAGCCCAACACAGTGATACCACTTCTGATGAGGGTATAATTGACACAGACCTACTTGACAAAAGCTAGGTCTTTGTTGTTCAAACATAAACGTAATCTCAGTACTAGGAGAAAAATGTGAACATGTAGGTCTTACTATCATGGGGTCAGTGATGTTATTTTCATTTATTGACTCAACAAACATTTCAAATGACCTGCTATAAATGAAAAAAAAAAAGTACAATTTTCATATATTTCTAAACATTTAGTTCAAACAATACATTCTAAGTTGCGAGACATGGAGACTTGCCTTTTGTTCGGTACTAAATACTTGAGCCAATACTATCTCACTAGCTACTTTTCCATTACTGGATCGGCGCGGGGGGTGGGGGAGCTCATGCTCCTTCACTCATTTTCCTGCACCATCTCCGTGCCAGATTGAGGTGAGGTATGTCTGAGACGGGCTGGGCCACCATCACAACATACCATGGATTGGCTGACTTAAATCCCAGAAACGTATTTCTCACAGTTGTGAACACTAGACAGCCAAGATCAGGGTGCCAGCATGCCTGGGTTCTGGGGAAGACTTTCCTCATTGCGTCCTCACATGGCAGAAAATGAGCTCTGGTGTCTCGTCCTTTTTTTAATGAGACACCAGTTCTATTTGCAGGAAGGTTCCACCCTCATTTAACCTTAGTCACCTCCTTTCAGGCCATCTCCAAATATAGAGGGGGTGAGGCTCCAACATAGGAGTTTGGAGGTGACACAATCAGCCCATAGCAGGTGAGCTGGTCACATAATTTATAGCTGGTATATTTTTAGTATTTTATTGCAAGTCTGGGCTGAACAATCGAGTAGGAAGGGTGTAGTTCTTTGAGCATTCTTTCCAAAATCTCACCTCCCTTCCACTTTTGCTCCAGTTAACGTAGAATGATGTTATACCCTGGGGTAATCTCTTCCCTCCCAGTTGGAGATGAGTAATAGGGGCTATTTCTGTGTGGGGGCGAGTTGGGATATTTTGGGTTGGGTTTGGTAGTTTGTTACCTTTTTTTTTCCTTTCCTACTCTGGAAACAAGAAAAGATCAGATACCTACCTAGGAAGGGTGGCAAATTCATTGCCAAGGAAAGCAATTTTATCAGAACCAACTATTCCA